TATGAATACTTTATTCAGGTTGCTTTGATGGAGAAGTTTTAAGTTTCACAAAATATTGGCTGGATGTTGAGTAGTGGGAAATTTTAACTCATGGATGCTATCTGGTGAAAGAAGTTTTATGATATATTGCTAATATGAAGATATTTGCTTCTGGGGTTTAGCTATTATACATGATAAAATGGGTGCATATATATATGTATCAATGAAAAAGAATGATGTGATATTTTACACAATAGAGTACTATTCAGCTATTAGAGAGGATAAACTTGAAAGTTCTGAGGTAAATGGATTCTACCTCACACCATATTTAATGACAAAATAAGGGCCAGGGATTTTTTCCTATGATTTAAGTGTTAATTGGTAAGCATGAGGTCATGAGAACAGTCCCCAGTACAAAAAAAATGAAATAAAGGAGATTCACATGTGTAAACATACTATTGTCTTCCTCATGTCAGAAACAGAGAGAGTATGTAAAGTCTAAATGCACAATAGGTACTGTGAAGTGAGAAAAATTATTTAAAAGGAAAGTGAAGTTGGATGGTGGAAAGGGGAAAGGATGTAGGGGAAAAAGGAAAAAAATACATGATAGGTACACTACATTATTAGTGTCTCTTAGTTCACTGAAAATGAAGATTTGTGCTAATATCAATTTGAGAAATATTAATGTCATATATTGTATACTTAACTACTGTAATGTTAGCGATAAACTATATTAACTTTATTTTCTATTACTATTTTGTTATGATATTTTACAATTTTTCCAACAAAATAAAGTAATATAACCAGTAAATATAAGTGAAACACTAAAAAAAAGGTGAAGGTTTTTGTATCAATGAAAAAATTTCCATTTTAAATAATATGCAGATAAATACAGGAGACTTTATTTATGGTACTGCAATATTCTTTCCTTAAAATGTTACCAAACCAATCAACAACAACAAAACTTCTACAGATTTTTTAAAAGAGAATCAGATTTCTTGGTGAAATGACCACTGAGAAGAGAATCAAGATAAATTCAATGATATGGAAAATACCTGAATGTGTTTTTGGAAAGAAGAACTTGAACTGAAAAATATTCTGCATGGCAAAGAAAATAATCACCAAAGAGAATAGACAATGTAGTGAATGGGAAAATACATTTCCAATTGGTTCAGTCTCAGTAGCAATCTGTAAACATCTATTAGTATGTTTTGAATTACAGCAAGAAACATGACAGAAACATATTAAAAGGTAAGGTTTTATTTTTCTCACTTTTGGAAATTTACCATGACCTATCCATGATGCTGCCTGGGTCCAGAAGCTGGCATGATGTGTCAGTGCAGGTGAGTATTGGATGATGTCCATTCACCTCATGGCATTGAGGAATAATGAGGGAGAAGGAAGAGATGAAGATCCTAAGCACTATTGAGGTCATGCCCTCAGCAGCTAAACACTTTCCCCAATACACCACAGCATGTTAAATTACCATCACCAACCAATAGTGCCATTGTGTGGTATAATGGTTATGTTTCATTGGCAACTTGACTCTGGATGTGTCTAGGGATGTGGAAAGAATACTTTGTATTTGTTTGGATGAGTCATGGAGGTATGATCTTGGGTATGTTCTGTGTTCCCTGAGCCCTTCTTCTCAGGTGCTGTTTCCATGACCTGGTTCCAAGCTGCCCTAAACTGAGCAGCTTTGTTACTCCTTGTTCTTCAGCCATGATATTTTTGCCTTGGACATGGAAGTCCATTGATTGAAGCCAGTGAGGCAATGAGTCAGATTAAACATCTCCTGTTCTACACTGTGGGTCTCTGATATTTTACACCAGTAAGGACAGTTCTCTGATGCAGTTAGAGAGCAAGACCTTAGCACTTGGATCTTTTGGGATGTTTAACTTCCAATTATTGCACTCAGTATTTATACATATCCAGTATATCTGTTTTTGACACCTAAAATTGTTTTCCAAACTAACTGCTAATGAAAATTCTAAAAATTTAGTTTAGTAGCTAAACAAAAGCTGTCTGTACCAGAAAATTCATATTGGTTTTAAATTAGCTGCACAATTTGTAATAGCCAAATCATGGAAACAACCCAAATGCCTATCAACTGAGGAACGGATAAGAAAGATATGGTATTTTTATACAATGGAGTACTAGTCAACTACAAAAAAGTATTGTATCCAGGCTTTTACAGGTAAATGGATGAGACTTGAGACCATATTCACAAGAGAAATAAATCAGACTCATGTGTATAAAGACCATATTGTCTCCCTAGTGTAAAAAACTTTAAAAGTAAATAAGATCCAAAATGTACTGTAGATGTTATGAAAGGGTGAGCAACTGTTCAAAGGGGAAAAATAACAAAGGTAAGGGAAAGGAGAAAATGAAGAGAAAAGGGAAAATATAAATTTGTTGGTATATACATAAAATAACTAAGATGAGTATACTACTAATTCTATTAGTTCTTGGAAAAGCACAGTTAACACTTACATGATTGTATCAATTTGCATGTATATCTGGTAATCTAAGCAACTCTTTTGAAGATAATAATATGAACTATTAAAACCACTGTTAGTTTCCTACCATTTTGCTTTGAAAGCCTATATTATTATTATTTTGGTTTTTTTGTTGTTCTTGTAGTTTTTGTTTGTCTGTCTCTTGTTTTTATTTTTCTTTTCTGTGTTTTTTACTCTTTAATACAAAAAACCAAAAAATTAGTCATTAGCATTAAAAAGTATCAATTTAAATCTTCATTTAGAAATTAAAATATTAAAATCTTTTTTTAAAATCAAACTTTTTCTACACTTTTCATGGTATCAAAGAGTAAAAAATGGGTCTCATTAACCTGACCATCTTTGAAGCAATAATAATTTGCAGGTTTAATAAAATGCTACAGAAATTTCAAGTATTAAGTTTATGTGAGTGCTATACATTGGAGAGAGTAAGTTCGCTTTTCAGTACAAGGTTTCCAAAGATATTGTTTGATAATATGCCATGACCTACATGGCTTTTAAAGTTCTTGAGGTTAAGGACCTCAAGAGGATGAGAAAATAAAGAAGAGATAAAGTTGAGGTCAGGTAGAGCTTTTACTTTCCTAGTAGAGGAAAGGAACTGGCCCTTCACTTTGTGGGCATTTATTTATTCATTGTGAAAAATAAAGAAGAAGAACCACAACACTCAGTGGAGTTAGAAGTGCTTAGGGAAGTAAATTTTGTGGTAATGATAAAAATATACATCTTATAATATTACTGAAAATGATACAGATGGATTACTTGTGTAACACTTGAAGTGCCTCAGAATGCTAGAACGAAATGTAATAACTTGCAGAAAGTCCAACCATCCTTAAATAAGAGATAAAGTTGAGGTCAGGCGGAACCCTTATTCTCCTAGTAGAAGGAAAGGAGCTGGCCCTTCACTGTATGGGTATTTATTTATACATTTTGGCAACTTAATGTCATATACACCCCATTGTCCAAGCAAACACTGCTCAGATTGTCTTGGGGCTAGGTGTTCTCTGGGATAAAACAGCTTCTTCACATGGCTTGCCCCAGGTATCCTTTGTTCTTGGGAGAGTCATGTCTCAGCCCTGCACATGCAGTCAATTTCCAGCTTCAACAATTCCCAATATTAATACAATATTTAATCTTCCCTAATGAGCTATATTACTACAGATAGTTTGAGCAGAATAAATAAGTTGTTTTCTACTCCATGCTTTATTTATTCAAACGTGTTGTACCTGTATTTCCAAAGTACATTTTTGATAATTTAGTTGGAGCCATATTATCAAAATAGGCTAGTTGTTTTTCTGATATTCCATTACAGAATGTTGTAGAAATGAGCCAAAGTGGCTTTCTTTCTTGCACCTTATGGAACTATATGGAGTCTGTTGAATAAGAAATGCTTAGCTAATAGGTTTAGGGGAATTCTGGTGCACCTGCATGATGGACTTAGTAGAAAAAGAAGACCCATTCTATGTTTGGGTGGCAAAAACTTATTATTGTATCCTGGATAGAATAAAAACGGAAAGACGAATTAAGTCTTAGTTGTTCTTTTTTTTCAGTAATATCTGTTTTTAACTTTGTCTTTGAAGGTTCATCTCCTGGTTACCAATACAAACATTTTACCTGTGCATTTTTCAGCCTTCCAACAAGATCACTCTTTTTCCTGACACAGGGTAGCATGGGACTCTACCAGTACATCAAGGTCTTCCAACTTTGCCTGGATCACGTGGTTCTCTAGATTGCATATCTTCATTTTGCAGAATCCCAACAAAGCTCCTGTCCTTTGACTTTTTGCTTAAACATTTTTCCATTGTTCAGCCATTTAAAGCATCCACCCTACAGCAAATATTTATTATCCTCCACTATGTGAAGGACCAATGTTAAGAATTTTCATTGTAGTCAGGTAAGACAAACTACTTTTATAGCTTCATCAAGGGAAAGATAAGAAATCACATAAGCACTCGATATGTCAAATTGTGATTGGTGATGGATCATATGTGTGATTATATTAGTCAGGGAGGTTGTAGCATTTTCAGTTCTAGAGAAGTATGCCTCTTAAGTACAGGAACAGTTGAGAAAAGTTTAATATTTTTTGAAAGCTTATTTTGGAGAGAATAATACCAAACAAAATAAGATAGAATAGAGTTAATCAAAACAAAACAATGAACTGGGTATAGGACTTCAAAACAAGGGAGGAGGAAGTCTATAATGGGTACCACCATAATGTCTCTTGTTATTTTGAAATAACTACTCATACTTTCAGGTACTACAAAACCAAAGAAGCTGAGCAGAACAAAACCAATCAAAACAGAACACTGAAAGCAATACACAACCTCAGAACCAAACAATAGGAAAACATCAGTGGTTACTGTTATGCCTCTTGTTATTTTCAAAGTAGCTGCCTATACTGTCAGACACAATAAATTCAAACAAAACAAAATAGAATAAAATCAATCAAAACAACACAGTAAAAGCAACACTGGGCTTTAAAATGATACTAGGAAATCAATAATGGTGAACAAAATATATTTTATTATCTTTGAAATAGTTGTGCATGCCATCAAATATAATAAAATGAGCTATAATAAACCAGATTAAAATGAGAATAATCAAAACAATCTAAACAATACAGGGTTTCAAAACACAGTAACAATGGCCACTGCCTTTGCTTCTTAGACATTTCCTTTCCTTTCACTTTCACAATATTTATTGTGCCTTTTGAATCCCACTAAGTCCTTTAATTTTCTATACTAGGGAGACAATAGGATGTTTAGTCATGTGATTCAGAGCCATTTCACTCCTGAGCATGAGCTCAAGTTTTATCCATTTAACTACAACAGCCTCAAGTTTATCTTTCTTTATTGTTGAGTAGCTTTCCATTGTATAAAATGCCGTATGTGTCTTATCCACTCTGCAGCTGATGGACAAGCTACCACCACATCTTCCTGGCTTCCTCTCACATAGAGCATTGCTCTTCTATCATCTTTGACTTTCACTCCGTGAACCTCCTTTTGAATTAAGTGTTTCTTGTATAAAGCACATAGATGGATCCTGTCTCCTGATGCACTCTGAATCCAGACTTTCATCTTGGCAGTTTTATAGGCCCAGCCTATATTAACTGCTAACTGGAGATTTGAAGTGATGTTCTCTTAAAATAGTTTGAAAAACAGAAACTACCAAATTTGCTGATAGATTTCATCTGTGATTTTGAGAACCAAACAGGAACAAAGGTTGAACAATGTTTCAGGGCCAGGGAAGTTGAGTATTGCTGTAGTTGGATCATTTCTAGTGTTTTAACGTGGCACAGTAATTCTTCCATTGACTTACTCATTAGCCCCCTGGTCATGTCAATCTTTTGCCATTATTCATTAAAATTTTAAAATTGTTATTTCTATTAGGGAATTCCATATTGTACAACTTTGTCAGGAGCTCATATTTTCAAATTTGAAATTTTATTTACCTGATGATTGGGAATTATACCTTATACTTACTTTAGTTTTCATGTTTCTTGTAACTAATGATAGAAAATTCATTAGAGACTTCCAGAGGTTGATGGGTAGTGAAAAGGGGATGCTTTTCTTAGTAAGCACAGAATTTGAGGAATGAAACTATTTTGAAATAGAGTTTTAATGGAATAAATTGTGAAAGATAGTTAAGGAGGTAGAATGGTATACAGAAAAGTATAAAAACATACAACATGAACTTCATGTTATTTATCTACAATATTCATGTTATATATTTGCAACCAATTTAAAAATTAACAATGCAACACATAAAATTGATTCTATACTTTAAATTACAAAATTGTATGATATATGTATCATGAGAATAGTTAATATCTATACATATTGTCATATATGAAGTAGTCAGTATATTGTTATTAATTATTTTAAGACTCAAAACTGATTCATATTTTAAGTACAGGTTTATACCCTTCAATCAACCATTTCTATTGCCTCTCCATCATCTGAATACCACTGTACTATGTGGTTCTAGGAAAGTCACTCTTTTAGAGTCTACATAGTATTGAGAGCAAGAAGTCTAAGTCTACTTATGTATCATTTATTTTCTATAGCATAATATCCTCTAGGTTGCCTCAAAATGGCAGGGTTTCCTACTTTTTTTTTTAATCGGTACCAGGGATCGAACTCATGACTGCCTGCTTGCAAGGCAGGTGCTTATGCCACTGAGCTAAATTCCCAGCTCTTTCCTTCTTTTTTTAAAGGGTGAATATTATTATGCATATGTAATTTGATATCATTTTTATAGTCCTCTTATTCTACAACAAATATTTTAAGAAGGAGTGGTACTTTGGGTAAACAATTGACATTTAGTATCTTTCTTAAAGTTGCTGTCAGGTTTTGCCTTTGCTCTAGTCATCTCTTCTGAAGGCTTGCAGAATGGGATGTTTAAACTTTGTTTTCCTGTTATTCTTTTTTAGTTTTTCTGATACAGGGTTTCACTCTTAAGTTTGGATGAGCCTTGAACTTACTTTGTAGGCCAGACTGATCTTGAGCTTGCAGTGTTCCTTTTACCTCAGTTTCTGGAGTGCTGGGATTGAAGGCATTGGCCAATATGCCTGATATTGTCTCCATTTATTTATTTATTGTTCCTTTGTTTATTTTCTTTTTGACACAGTGTTTCATTTGTAGCTCTGGTTGGCCTTGAACTCACTTTATATCCCAGGCTGGGTTGAATCCCAGAGTAGTCCTTCTGCCTCAGCCTCCTGCATGCTGGGTTTATAGCCATGCACCACCATGCCCAACACATGGATTTCCTATCCTTGCTATTGCTTCTATTCAGATGTTTGGGAAGATTTCTTTTCTTCACAATTGTTCACTTCACAGGATTGAATAATTGATTTTATAGCAAGGCCCTTGGCATCAGTGAAGGAGATCATTCCAAAAGGACAAGCTTTAATCAGAGATGACCACCTACCCGTGAAAGTCACTCATCAATATTGATATGAATTTTATTAACAAATATGTATAGATGCATGTGTGACTCTGTTCTATATAGTTTGGGGTTCATTCATCCATGAAACTTAGATTTCACAATTTAATGTCTCTTATTTTCCTAATTTTTGTTACAACCTATTTTTTTCTGCCAAAATACAATTTTCATGATCTGAAGGTGATAGATTAAATAATAATTGTAAGTAACAAGTGACTTTCTTAGAAAAAACAGAACTTTGACTAAGGTGAACATGAAGCCGGTAATATAGAAGTGGAGTTAAAATAAAGACAAGTTGATAAATATGCTCCATTTTAGGAGACTGAATGATTGGTATAAAAATTAGAAAGAGTGAAAAAGCTATGGATGCAAGTATCACTGGCAGCCAAACCTGAAAAGAGAAAGGAAACAAAGATGAGTTATGAATTTTTTTCTTTCACCAGTTTTCACAGACAAAGAATTTTATAAGTGACAGATAAGAATGGGAGGTAACTGCACATATGTGTTTAAATAGTTTTAGATGGATATTCTCAGGTTCAGGATATGGAAAATGAGATTAATGCACACTAAACATGCACTGCAATATATTAATAAATTATATCTTTTTCCCATAGATTGTATCATTAATTTACAAAAGTTAGTAAAAGTTTGTACTTTTAATAATGAAAATTGTTGAAAAGGTACATTATTGCTTATCATGCTGTAAGAAAAATTAATAATATCACTCCTATCTTAGCCATTGGAACATTCTTGGTTTTTTATTTAGGAAACTCAGCTCTCAATTCCTTATCATATTTCTTGTAAATAATGAGCAATAATTTGTTCTAGAGCAACCACATCATAAGATTCAGAAAAAAACTGAATTGAAATAGAAATATTTTTTGTGAAAATTTCACTTTTTCAAGAAATAATTGTTCAAGTTTTTCCTAGTTCCTCTTGGCATGCTTGATGTGACAGATAAAAATTGTTCTTTTATGTAGTTTGCTATCACAGTCCAGTTTTACAAGCTTCGGCTTCTTTATCTGGTCTTCATTTGTACAATGGTGTCTTGGATAATGTGGATCTTTAAGTATTGGCTGGAAATGCATTGATTACATTTGAGTAGATCTGGGCAAACAAAGTGACATTTATTGATGAAATAGTTAACTACACTTATCCACATTTGTTACTTTGCTGTGAAGCTAAGGAGATCCTCCAGGGAAAGCTTGACTGATTTCTCTGAACTGCCCGGAAGAGACACTGAACATAGTAGTTACACACTGCATATAGCTTTAAATGAATGTCTAAAGAAAAAGTCATTTTCCTTCACATTTTCACAATACTTATTCATAGGTAAAGAAGAGGCTGAATTGGGGGAAAAAGAGAGTGCAAGATGACATCGGTTCATGTTTTTTCAAATATTACCAGGAGACTTCTCTGCATAAGAATCTGCAAGATAACTCATATTTATTCCAATTACTATGGATCAGATGAGACTGAAAGAATGAGAATTTCCAAAGATGAACATGGGAATTTAAGTGAAAATAACACTCAAGTGTTCATTTTAGTGACTGGCATGATGTATGGATTTGTTATTTACAGTCATACCACATCTATAAAGAAAATGTATCTTAAATGACGAGCAATCTTGATTATATTTAAAATCTGATTGAGGAATAAAACATACTCTGGAGCCTCCAAAATTCATATTAAAGAAAGGCAAAGCTTACTCCCTACAAGAACAGATGAGTGAAAATAAAATAGAGGTATAACGAAGATAAAGAAGCACAAACAATATAAAAACATGATTCTCATAAAAAGCTCCCAGCAAGGTTACTAACAATCATCCAAACAGAACACCACAAAGTATATGTAGGCCAGTAGTTTAGGAGTAGCCCCAGTATTTGTGATGTAAAGATCAGAGACCATCACACCAATGTGTTTTTGCCAAAAAAACCCATATTTTTGCTAGAGCAAATATAAAAATTATTTGAGTTCTTCTATCAGAATGCTAGCATTGAAATCCAGGTCAGCTCCATGATTCCAGGGTAATCAATCTGAGTCTTGGAATTTTCTTGTGTAGTGCACGGTTATTTAAAGAATTCAGGCCACGTCTTTGGTCTGTCTCTACTCACACCTCATCCTCACTCACTATCCTTGTTCTTGGTGCAGTTGTGTTCTAAAAGAAGAATCTGATATTATTTCTCCTGCATGTGAGATCTTTGTTACTTCACAAAACACACATGCAACCATAAACTGGTGAAAACGGGGATTGTCATCTATTTCAGGGGTCCCACACTCCTGGACTCAGAGTTGTAGGAATTGTTCAGTCCAACAGAAGATGAGCAATGGAGCCAACAGCAAAGCTTCCTCTGTATTTACTGCTCTTCCTCAGTGTTCACATTACCATCTGAACTCCTTCATCTGGAATTTGTTATAAGAGCAAGAATCTTACTGTGAAGTGCAACTGTGAGGATCCAGGTTGTGTGCTTCTTGTGAAAACCTAATGCCTGAAGACCTGAAGTAATTTTGAGACAGTGAAACAAGTTCTGGGGGCGGCTGCAAATGCCCATTAACATTAGCAGAGAGGTTTGACTGCACAGGTACCATATGGGATCCATTGCTTGCAGAGTCCTATTGAAACCTTATTAATGACTAACAAATTGCAGTTAAGTTACATCTAGTGATAACCTTTGTAAGAGCAAACAAATTTGGGTGACCATCTAGTTACTGGAACACTAGATCAATGTTAGACGTAATACTGAATTATGATGAGTTGTACCATTATTTTGTAACATAGTATATCATAGCACTAATGAACAAAGGAATACATATGGTGATTGAATAATTTGATAATATCAATTTTCTGCCTCCAGACTTTCATAAACTTATCTTCCACAAAACTGGTTCTTGGTGCCAAAATACTTAGGGAACCACTTATTTAGCATCCTGCTGGTACTCATCCTGCTCTGTACCTGTGCATAGGGCTGTGTCCCTCTAGTAAAGCAGTGCTTTTTTATTGGTATTTTGTAATGGCCTTCAGAACTTGCTGAACATGGTTGAGGCCTTCAGATCAGACCTTAGTTCTATCTATGCAAGGAATCATACAGTAAACTCAGAAGTTACAACAGTTTTTGTCAACTCTTCCATGTGGCTCAATGATTGAATTTTGGTAGTTCATGTTCACAATTATAATTGACCTTAATTTCTTATACAAACTAAATGTTTTCTTCCTAAATCTTTTTGACAATTCCTGAAAGTTAAGATAGTAGTATCTATATTATACTTAAAAATATAAACTTTCAATACTAGATATAAAATATAAACTTTTACACCAAAATTAATATAAATAAACCCAGTAATAATTGTTCCACAACAGAAAATTAAGAAATGCAGGCCCAATTCAGATGTGCCAGAAATTGGTCTGGCTATTGTTTAGCAGCATTCATACAGCTCAAACAAATTTTGTTTATAGATCTATATTATTAAATTAAAGTTTGCATTACAATTTTGATTTACCTTATAGGGTCTTGGTAGATCTGGATTCTGGTACCTTGATTTAAGTAAAGCAACCATACTTAGCCCATGTAAAACCCAAGATACTAAAGCTATATATTTTATTAATTGGGTCAGATTTGATGGTATAACAGCAAGAGAAGATAAAATAATTAACTGGATCACAGCTGGAGCTGGTGAGAGATGCTCATTAAGCATAGAATAGACCAGTGGCAATTGTCCTTCTTGGCTTGCTGCATAGAGAATCCTTGATCCTGAAAGTATTCCACAAGAAGTGGTGTCAATTATTGAAGCTGAAATTCCCAGTGAAATGACCCATTGCATGGAAGGGAGTACTCTGTCCATCCATGTGACAGCAACAGAATCTACAAACAGAAAATAAAATGGAAAACATCATAGTCACTTTGGCAGTTTTGCAAATACATATGACAGTACTTTCTTCTTCCTGAATCTATGTCTCTTGTGACAGGAGCTGAAGAAAGGAAGTATGGTTAAGTTCTTGAATTGGTTGTGGCTTCTTTGTGTTTTCATTAATAAAATAGGAATTGTTATTTTTCAGTTACTTTATGAGAGGTATTACAAGGTTCTGCATGCACTCTTGGTTGGAACCCAGTCTAGCTTCCATATTAAGAAGCTCAGCCTAGATTATCAGAGGACAAACCCAAGACAAACTGTGTCATCTGTGGTGTTGTGAAAATGCATGAAAAAGATTACCCTTGTAGAAACATAATTTACCCAGATCTACTGCATTGTGAAATCTTGTGTGACAGATGTGTTAAAGCAGAACTCACAGGGAACTCTCGGGTAATCAGTTTGTGTGGCTGAGAAGCATGAAAATTCCTTTACCTAAAGGTCAGTGATTGCTAAAGTCACCTTCATAGACTTCCTTATGTTCTGTGGCAGTCTGACATATTTTTACCCATATTCTCACTCTTACTACCTTTGCCTCAGGCTAAACGTGCATTATGGTCCCATTGTTCTCTTGATTTTCTGCCTGATTTACTAACCATAAGACTGTGCCTTAATAAAATTCTTCAATATATAATCTTGTTGTGGTAGTTGTATTGCAAAAGCTTGAAATAAATCCTTGGGGGACCCAAAAGAAAGTGTCAAGCTATATGATAAACACTTGACTCACATATGGCCCCAGTATCTCAGCTGATTCTATCTTATATTGTGAACTCATAGAATTCTGGTTTAAAAATTTTTTTTTAAGTCTGCATGTTTCTGGAAGTTTACTAGAAAACAGTGAATGGTTGTTTTGTTATATGCAGCTGAGTTAGTTAGAAATATTATAAGTGGTGAGATAGGGCTACGTCCTTGAAGGAGTCAGTGCAGAAGACGAGATACTTTGAAGCTCTGGGGAAGACAGACAATGAATGCTGTGGGATGGGCCTCAAGACAAAAAGCTCAAACAAATGCACCTATATCCTTAGAGCTGTTATTCTAAATAGTTCTCTATCTCTCTGAAGAAGTCAGGAGTCACCTTTCCAAACCCCTATGGGAACAATCAGTGCTTCCTAAGAATGCCTGCTTTCTATGTGACTCACTTCCCTGTTTCCTACAAATTAATCAGTTTTACCTTAACTACTCTTATTGGTTTACCATAATTACATCACACCTTACAACCATCTACCTTGTGAGTTCCCAGTTTACGCCACCTTGAGCCTATCTCACTCCATGATTTTACTCTATAAAAGTCTGTAGAAGAGACAGAGTCCCTGGCAACCAGCTCAGGATCCCTTCTGTCTCTCTCAGACAGAAGCTTTATTTCTCTCAATAAATATTTCTGTTCTTAACTTGTATTTTACCTAAAATTAATTCTTTAATTCTAGAGAATGCAAACTTGTACCGGACATATTGTACCGGTACAAGGTCAGGAGTTTGATTCCCCTATATCAGTATAATCACTTGTAGTCTTGTCAAATAAAAGTAACAATGGATAGATATTTTTCCATAAGAATGGACATTGTTTTCTAAATAAATCAAATGAAACATTAAAAATGTGAGACATTATATTGTATATGTGTTAAGCATGTTCCAAAGTGGTTCAGAATTAGTGTGCATTAGTTGTAGTTCAAGTGGAGATAATTGAGTGATATAACTGTGTTTTCTTATTATTTATGAGATCATTGTATTTTTCAAGGAGTATTGGATGAATTAACAGTTTAATTATTTCATGGCACATTTCTATACCAACTGATCAATTATATGTGTGTATTTACAATGTTAAGTGCTATCATCATTCCTTCTAGAGGCAGTCTATATTCTCAAATTGAAAGAATTCATAAAAGAGTTAGCACTTGCTATGAAATCATTGGTATTGTAGTCCAAGTTTATTTACTGTCTTTCATTTCATGGGTTAACATTGCTTTTCTGAGGCTAGTGTTGATATGAGATGAGGCACTTGGGCTCTAGAGATAACAAACTTGGAATCAATCTTACTGTCACCATGAGGTAGCCTATAATGTCTGGTTGCAGACATCTTGGGGCCTTGTGTGAGGTGCAGTGAGCAGAGTGCAGTGGGTGAGGACAAAAAGTTAGTCCTGTAGTAGGCCTTGGCTCAGAACCTGCTCTGGCAAGATGAGAGGTGGCCATGAAGGAAGTGTAGTGACATTAGAGTGGTTGCAACTCTGAGATAATGCGATTAGGAAGACAGATAAACAAAACAGAAAGCCGTGTTCAAGCAGAGAAGCAGCCAGATTAACTTTTTTTACTCTAAACTATCTGTAGACACAGAAATTGAGAGTATCAAAACAGTTGCCTAATTGAAGAGGCTGTTGCAGTAAATCAGTCATGAACAAGGTTCTGGACCAGTGAACTAAGTTAGAGTGAGAAATATGTGGGGCATGTATTTAAAATTCAGTGAGGTAGAGGTTGTATTGAACTTGCAGATTGAATTCCAGGGCAACTATAGGACAAATTACTTTTTTCTTCCCTCATTTTAAGAATAACAAAATTTTCCTTTAATAGATTTCAACATTTCTGTGAGACCAAAATTTGCAAATATGCAATGCCAACAACTGTGTATTCTTTTTGAACTTACAGTAATGTTCATAACTACTGTATTTTTTGGTGCTAACAAGCTACATTTCAAATTTTTGAATTATGGACAAATTACATGTATGTTCCCATCTCTCTGTGTTTGTACATGTCTATAATTATATATTCTTCTTTTTAGGTTGTGTTTTAGTAGTATACTTTTGCAATTTATGTGGAATACTTGAAAAGTTAATTGTTCTTAGTGCATGAATTTTGTAGGTAAGTGCACTTGTTTTTCTATAGAAGTAAATCTGATTAAACCTTTAATGTTGGGTAGAATTTTTTCAACATTTTTATTTCTACTTTATTCTCAAAAAGTAAGCTGACCATTGAATCTCACTCATTCATATCTATGTATATGTGTCATGATTTTGTCTATAAACAAAACTTCTGATGTGACAAAGCCTCAGTAGTATGTCTGTGTTTTATTACTGAACTACTAAGATGCTGTTTCAATGATGCATTGATCTGGTCTTTCTTTTTTTCTTTCTTTCTTTTTTTTTTTTTTTTTTTTTTTTTTTGTCTTTTTCCTTTTTATCGATATCAGGGATCAAACTCATGACTGCCTGCTTGCAAGGCAGGCGCTTATGCCGCTGAGCTAAATCCCCAGCCCCCAATCTGGTCTTTCTGCAATGCAAATTTAACACAGAGAGTGAGAATATGCTTTTAAAATTAGGAATTTTGAGGGGCTGGGGATTTAGCTCAGCGGCATAAGCGCCTGCCTTGCAAGCAGGCAGTCATGAGTTCGATCCCTGGTACCGATAAAAATGAAAAAAGACAAAAAAAAAAAAAATTAGGAATTTTGGATTGAACTTGGTTTAGTCCATAAGTATGCAACATCAACTACCATTCTTTGTGGTTTTTTTGGAACATCAGGTGTTACAAATTGCAGCACACATTCACAAACCAATACTACCAATAATCTAAAGAAACAATTTTTATAATAAGAGATCAACTGACATCTTAAATCTGCCTATCTGTAGGAGGATGACAGTGACTGTATCATTTATTATCCTTAATTTCAGATTCACTATCTGAGAAATGAAGATGGTGTTGCCTATTTGCAACAGATACAACAAGGAGAGAAATTTGTGTGTACCCTAAATGATGGAACACCTGAGGAATATATGTAATTGTTTCTGGGAGCTTTCTCATAGGAGTTTCTCTCATTTTCTTCATGTAACACCCCCTTTGCTCCATCTCATCTTCTTTGTTCTATTCTCCTACTCTCTATTTAGTACTTGCTATTTAGAGTCAGCTACTCTCAGAACCTAATATTTTTCAAGTGCTTAACTTTTGTACATGATTTAATCAATCATTGTTTCTCAGATTCTTTGTAAAGTCAAAAACATAAACACATACAAAAATATGGCTACGTGCGCATCAAACTAATCTAGTGTATAATAGCGTAGCTGTTTAATTTGAACAGTTAAATGTGACTGTTTTGCACTTGTTCACACACAATCATACCTGAAGAGATGATTTCCTTTGGTGTCAAAACTGTCAGGAAGGATACATTAGTCAACAAGTACATCACAGTCACGATGGACAGAGACGATATGAAAGTCCTGGGAAGTGTCTTGGTAGGGTTTTTCACCTCTCCTAAGGAACAGAAAAAAGATGAATCAGAGCAGGTCATATTGTTTAGTTTACATTTTAATTTTCTTCTACTATAAAGGAGAGCAGTATGTTGTTCCAGTGTCATTGTTCTGTTTCTGGACTGATCCTGCTTGGATCCGGGACACATTTTCTTTACATGCTTGTAAATATCATTTGTTAAAATAAATTACGCAGAAGCAGGTGGACGCCCACTTACCCCAGAGCCCAGCCTGTTTGGGACCCTCGCATCGTTTGGGTACAGTGGAACAACTAGGTGGATCTGAGGTGCCTGCATCCACCTCCCCATGTGTCTGGAGGACTGTGGAGTTCTAAGCAAGCAGGGGAGCACTACGAATTCCAGAGGCCTGGAGTCCTGGGGTAAGTGTCCCGTGTACTTCCCCCCGAGGCAAGCTTGTTCGGGACCCTCGAGCCTTCCAGGTGCAGTGGAACAGCTAGCTGGGTGTGAGGCACCTGCATCCGCCTCCCTGTTCTGGCTGAGCTTGGAGAACTGTGGAGTTCTAAGGAGGCAGGGGGGCACTCATTTTCCTTGGACCCCAGCCTGTTTGGAACCCTCGCACTGTCTGGGTGCAGTGGAACAGCTAGGCAGGTCTAGGGTGCCTGCATCTATCTGCCCATGTGTTTGGAGGGCTGTGGATTTTAAGCAAGCAGGCCAGGACCATCAGTTCAGGGGCCTGGCAAAGTGGGATAAGTGCCCTGCACACCTTCCTCCAGCCCAGCTTGTTCAGGACCCTCAAGCCTTCTGGGTGCACTGGAACAGCTAGGTAGGTCTGAGGTGCCTGCATCAGCCTCCTTATTCTTGCTGTGCTTGGAGAACTTTGGAGTTATAAGCAAGCAGGCGAGTGCCACTGGCTCCAGAGGCCCAGAGGTCTGGAGGAACTGGATGCCAGAGTGCCAGGAGCTGGGGGCATAGAAGTGGATTTCCAACAGACCCTAAAGAAGCTTTTGAATAAAACTTGAAACATAGAAATATAGGAAAATGACAAAATGAAAGATCAAATTACAATCTCAAACCCCCAGCCCATCCCAAGAAACCTTAGGAATGATGTATATAGAAGACAATATATGCCATACACCTAACTTTTGGACATAATAGCAACTGAAATAAACAAGCAACTCTGGGAAGCATTAAAGGAATTCAAACTAGAAATAATCTCCCAGGTAAAAGAAGAAATGATAAAAGAAATGAAAGAGATGCTGAACATATCTAAAGAAAACACAGATAAAAAATTGGAGGAACTAAAAAAAAGATAGAATCCCTAGATGAGCAACAAAAGAAACAAACAGAATACATACAACAGATGCACAGAGATATGCAGGAAATCAAAAATTACACTGAAAGCTATAAAAACAGCTTAATGAAAGTGAAGATAGAATTTCAGACCTTGAAGACAGGACTGCAGCTAGTGAACAGGAAAGGAAAGATCTTTTAAAAATAACAAAGAATCAGGAAATAACAATTCAACAACTGCAAGATGACACAAAGAAAAACAACACAAGATTGATAGGGATTAATGAAAAAGGAGACAACATAAAGGACGTCAAGAGGATATTTAGAGAAGTAATAGCTGAAAATTTCCCAAGCAGGAGATCAGAAACCGACATCAGGTTCAGTGAAGCATATAGAACTCCAAATAGTCATAACCAAAATAAAACTACACCCAGACATATAATAATCACCATCCCAGAAGTCCAACACAAGAATAGATTATTAAAAGCTGTCAGAGAGAAAAGATAGATCACTTATAAAGGAAAACCTATCAGAATCACAGCAGACTTCTCAGTACAAACAATAAAGTCAAGAAGAGCATGGAATGAAGTATTCCAGATCCTAAAGCAAAATGATTTCCAACCTAGACTGATGTAACCTGCAAAACTATCATTCAAAATCGATGGTGAAATAAGATACTTCCATGGCAAAGAATAGCTGAAGAACTTCATGATCGCCAAGCCAACCCTGCAAAAAATATTGAAAGACAGTTTAGATACACAAAGGAAAAAAACCACTAAGCAAAGCAGATAATTAAGCAGAACAGAAAGATAAAGATGCAACAGCAGAAAGATAACATGTCAACAATAAACCAACATATAACAGTTATAACCATTAATGTAAATGGTCTCAATGCACCAATTAAAAGAACAGACTGGCAGAACAGATCAAGAAACAAAATCCAACCATATACTGTTTACAGGAAACCCATCTAACCCAGAAGGATACTCACAGACTGAAAGTCAAAGGACGGAAAACAATACTTCATGCAACAAGAATCCAAAAAAAAAAAAAAAAAAAAAAAAAAAAGCAACTGTTTGCAGACAATGTGAGCTTTAAACCAATAATGATCAAAAGAGACAAAGAAGGTCACTACATGCTCATTAGGGTAAAACTGCAAGAGGAAGAGATAACTATCTTAAATATAATGCACCAAATTCCAGAGCACCCAGTTATATAAAACAAGTATTAACAGAAATAAAAAAATCAAATTATCAGTAACACAATTGTAGCAGGAGACCTTAACACACCATTGACACCAAGGGACAGATCAAGCAGACAGAAAACCAGCAAAGAAATAACAGAACTGAATCACACGTGAACAAATGGATTTGATAGACATATACAGAGTGTTCCATGCAACAACATCAGAATACACATTCTTCTCAGCAGTACATGGGTCTTTCTCTAAAATAGACCATATATTAGCCACAGAACATATTTAAATAAATGCAAAAGATTTGAAATCATCCCTTGCAAGTTATCGGATCATAGCGCTTTGTAATTAGAAATTAATGATAAAAGATACTGCAAAAATCCCACAAACAATGAAAACTGAATAACACACTCTTGAGTAATCAGTGGGTCACAGGGGAAATTAAAGAAGAAATTAAACAATACCTACAAGAAAATGAAAAACAGATAAAACTTACCGCAATCTGTGGGATGCAATGAAATCTGTTTTCAGAGAAAAATTTATTGAACTGAGTTCCCATATCAGGAAAACAGAATGAATACAAAAAAATAACTTGATGCTACACCTCAAACAGCTAGAAAAAGAAGAGCAAGTCAATCTCAAAGCCAAAAGAAGAGAGGAAATTATAAAAATCAGAGCAGAAATCAATGCAATAGAGACTAAGAAAACGATCCAAAGAATCAGTGAATCAAAGAGTTGGTTCTTTGAAAGAGTAAATAAAATTGATAAGCCCCTAGCTAACCTTATTTTAAAAAGGGAAGAAAAAGCTCAAATTCATGCAATGAGAAATGAAAAAGGTGAAATCACTACAGACTCTAAAGAAATACAGAAGATCATCAACACCTATTTTGAAAACCTCTACTCTCAAAGGTTTGATAACACAGAAGAAATAGACAGATTCCTAGAAATGTATGAAGTACCAAAGCTAGGTCAAGAGGATGTAAAACTGCTGAATAACCCAATCTCTATTAAGGAAATTGAAAATGTAATTAAGTCCTTACCTACAAAGAAGAGCCCAGGCCCAGACGGATTTACTGCAGAATTCTACAAGAAATACAAAGAAGACCTAGTGCCGAGACTCTTCAAACTCTTCAATGAAATTAAAAGGGAAGCAATCATTCCTAAGTCATTCCTGGAAGCAAATATTACTCTAGTACCAAAACCTGAGAGAGACCCAGCTAAAAAAGGGAACTACAGACTAATCTCCTTAATGAACACAGATGCAAAAATCTTCAATAAAATATTGGCCAATAGGATGCAGCAAATCATCAACAAGATTATACACCATGACCAAGTGGGATTCATCCCAGGCATGCAGGGATGGTTCAGCATATGTAAATCAATAAATGTAATCCACCATATCAATAAAGCCAAAAGTAAGAATCACATGATCATTTCTATAGATGCAGAAAAAGCTTTTGATAAGGTCCAACATTCATTCATGATAAGAACTTTACAGAAAATTGGAATAGATGGTCTTTACCTCAATTTAATAAAGGTCATCTATGACAAACCAACAGCCAGTATCATGCTAAATGGCCAAAAATTGAAGGCCTTTACTTTAAAATCAGGCGCAAGACAAGGATGTCCTTTACCACTACTCCTATTTAATATAGTACTGGAAATACCAGCCAGAGCAATTATATAAGAGAGAGAAATAAAAGGGATACAGATAGGAAAAGAAGAAGTAAAACTATTATTGTTTGCAGAGGACATGATACTCTACATAGAAGACCCCCTAAACTCCATTGAAAGACTCTTAGATATAATAAATAAATTCAGTAATATAGCTGAATAGAAAATCAATACTCAAAAATCAATAGCATTCCTATACACTAACAACAAAATCACAGAGAGAGAAATCAGAGAGGCTACACCCTTCTTACTAGCAACCAAAAAAATGAAATATTTAGAAATTACTCTTATGAAAGAAGTGAAAGACCTGTACAGGGAAAAGTATAATACACTGAAAAAAGAAATTGAAGAGGATCTCAGAAAATGGAAAGACATCCCTTGCTCATGGATAGGAAGAATAAATATTGTGAAAATGGCCATTCTCCCAAAACTCTTAGACAGATTCAATGCATTCCCAATAAAAATATCATCAACATATCTCATGGATCTAGAGAAATCGCTCCTAAAATTCATTTGGAGTGAAAAGAGATCTAGAATAACAAAGACAGTTCTAAGCAACAAAGGCAAGGCAGGAGGCATCACAATCTCTGACTTGAAATTTTACTACAAAGCAACCGTAGTGAAATAAACATGGCACTGGAATCAAAACAGAGCCGAAAATCAATGGAATAAATTAGGAGATACAACCACAACTACAAACACACTCAACCACCTTATCTTTGATAAAGGAGTCAAACAGGTTCATTGGAAGAATGACAGTCTCTTTAATAAATGGTGTTGGAAAAACTGGCTCTCCATTTGCTGAAAACTAAGACTAGCCCCATGCTTCTCACCATGTACTAAATTAAAATCTAAATGGATCAAAGATCTGAATATTAAAACAGA